TACAATACTTCAACACAAACAAAATTATCAATATATGAAATTGCACATAAAGTGAATTAGCAAATTGTAAAGATAACGAGAGAGAAAGAGAGACAATGATTTGTTTAGGCAGTTCCTCAATCAGCCTCGATATGGGTATGTGTGCCTCCAATTCCAAATGGAATTGAGATAATCAATTAACCTTTACAAATGTATGAATACAAGATAGAAATAACAATCCAGCACTCCAAACCCTATGTTTGATGTTGATCCTATCTTATCCTCCTCCCTTGATCTTAAGCAAGATCAAGTAACCCAATACTTCTAATTTGATCCTCTGGTTACCTTTACTTCTTTGACAGAAACTCCATTCTTTAAAGCTTTCACTTGGGTGAATCCAAATTGTGAACTATTGTGACCCAAGATTACCAATTGGTTATTTGGTTACCGTTAGTCCTTTGACAGAAATGTCTTTCTTCAAAGCTTTCACTCAGCTGAATCCGAATTGCAAAATCTTATGCAAAACTCCCAAATCAACCTTGATCTTAGAAGAAAACCCTACTGGATTTATCTTGAAACCCCAAAGAATTTCCAACCCAATTGATTACAACCAACCTAATTGGACCTTATCACATTATCTCTAAATCACACAACAAAAAGGATTATGTGTAGTTATTGTATGAATGCAAAGAGAGAGGATGAAGATGATGAAAAATTCTTTGTATGTTCTATGGTTGCAATATCTTGAAATGATGCATGAATGCATATATGTGAGTGTAATAGGAAAAAACAGAAAAACGTATTTACAAAATTACAAGTTTAGAAATTCTAAAACAATATGTGTTGACACAAAGATAGTTGGAGTTGACCTATAAGACGTGTTTGCTTCTTATGTGTCGACTCATACATTCTTGGAGCCGACTCCAAGAGAGAAGAGCCATTTGTCTTTAAACTGCATCATCTTGTGTTGACCCACCCGTGGTTTTTATCTACCCAAACACCTTATGTATAGACCCAGGGGACTTTGTATGTCGACACAAACAGGGCATATATTTTATCAAGAAAAAAGCTTCAGTATGTGTCGACCCAAACATCAGGTGTGTCGACATATAAAAGGCATAAAATTTCTTTTTAAAATATCCTTCAGTAAGTGTCGACCGTTAACACTTGTGTGTTGACTCATAACCTTGTTTTCATTTGAAATCATGATTTTGACTTGTAAAACCGTTTTTAACATGATTTTAAGTGTCCTAACATGAAATATGCATATCTAGACATGGAGACTAAGGTCCAATATACACAAATGCCAAGTTCTAGTTTTGACATCATTTAAAATATTTAAAAGGATAGTGCACTCACACAATCTATTGTTTATCCCTTGCATGTTATAGGGAGCATGGGGGAACAAGTCGACGTTCCTAATGAGTTGGTCAACTAGATCATGTTATCTTCCTCGGTAAGTGAAGTGCATATCTTTGTCACCTTATGGGATGAGGGGCCTATTATGACTTCTTTAAAATCATTTATGTGTGTGAGTCTCTTATTGTCAGCACCCAATCTAGAACCCAACAATCAATGTTTGCATCTAGGACTTCGGGGAGGAGGCACCTACAAGGGCGAGCTCTTCCCTTTCCACTGACAGGCTACTATAGTAACACTCATGAGCATTTTGTTGGTCTCCTCAAATGGTCTCGACTCGCCCACCAGTCAGCGGGTACTTCAAGAATAGATACCAGGTCAAAAGTATTTGCCTCTAACTCATTGATACAGGTCGGCCTAGGATGATGTTGTAGGGCGACAAAGCATCTACTATGATATAGTTGACTTTGATCGCATTGGAATTTATTCCCTTTCCATAAGTTGTTTTTAGGGTTACGTAGTCCTTCACTTGTATTTGTTCACCTAGCAGTCATATTAACGAACCCTAAAAGGATTTGATGTCATTGGGATTAGGCTGAAACCCTCATAAAACACCCTAAATTAGGACGTCAATAGAACTCCTGGGATCTATTAGGACTCGCTTGATGTCCAAGTTTCCATGTTTCACAGTGATGACCAAGGGATCATTATGATGAGAAAGGATTATGACGGTATCTTTGACAAAGATGGTGATGTCAATTCTTATTTCTCTTTGTTTCCTTTTAGAAAACCTTGGGCATATGATGTACGGGGTTAACACATGTTTGGCATATTTCCTTTGGAGGGAGTTGAAACTTTCTCCATCAGTGAAACCCCATGTTATGGTGTTGACCCTGAAATATGGAGTTCTATATGACATCCTCGTATAAAGATGGAAAGGATGGTGATGAAAGAGGTGTGGTCCATGTTAGTTTCATTGGATCCCCACGATGGGTTTCACTGTATTTGTCAAAATATACTGGTGCGTGTGGTATCACTACACGCGTAGGGGATACTCAGAGGCCTTAATAATTTTATGACAATGAGAGGTCGTGTATGTTGATGTTTATGGTGTTTATGGTGGTATGAGAGGGTCAACTCACGTGAGGTGAGAGACTCTTTAAGTAAGTGTTATGATTATGGTGTAATGATTTATCCATCTCCCATTAGGGGGAAGTATTTATAGAATCCCTTGGGCATAAGGTTTCCTTGAGAATGATAATCGTCCACTAGTCAAAGGTGGACAGCTGAATCCTTACTTTATAGGAGGACGTGAATTAACTATTGACCCTGACTTCACTCTGACCAAAGAACATCTTTCTTCATGTTTCCCATAATTGGGCGAGTGAAAGACACTTAGAGTGAGACAATTTTCACTAAGGGGCGACATATGGTCGCCATCTCTTTTGAGGGCTACAACCCTTCTGTTTTTGCAAGGTCTTTTACAAATATAACACTACATTTCTATAAAGAGTAAAAATTGACACTTTTAAAGATCTCTTAAAAATGATATAGATGAATTAATTTTTTTTAAAATAAAAAATATTTAGATAAAAAAAGTTCAATGTGTATTTTGATCAGTAGTTTTTACACAGATATTTAGTAGTTATTTTAGTTATTATTTCTTTTATTTATCGAGTTTTTATTTCGTTTTATCGCATATTATATTTTGGTTTTGTGTTTTAGTGTTTTAGGATAAAAAGGATAAAACATGACAAATCGAGACAGAAAAAGTGCATAATTCAAAGTTTCGGAGGAAATGCTACAACAGACCCTGACACGGGTGGACGTGTCGCCTGACACGGGTGGTCGTGTTGCCTGACACGGGCCGTGTCAGGGGGAAGACTTGGACGTCGTGGAAAACAGAGGCTGACACGGGCAGCCATGTCGCATGACATGGACCGTGTTAGCATGCCTGAAGCAGAAAAATCACCTGATGGCCAACACGGGCGGTCATGTCGCCTGACACGGGCCGTGTTGCCAGTGACATTGATTTTAAGTATTTTTTTTTATGATTTTTCACTATTTGGGACTCAAAGGGGCGTTTTGGGTATTTCTGACCAAGACAAATGGAGTGTTTATTATTTAGCCAAGTTTGAAAGAGGAATTATGGGACTTTCTCCGCACGAAGAACTGAGGATTGAAGAGCAACGTATGAGATTCTTGGAGGACGGAGATTTTTCATGAGCCGCAGCGATTGAAGATCAAAGATCATCATTTATCTGTAATGTTTAATCTTTATATAATTGAAATTCTTTTGAACAATATGAGTAGCTAAACTCCCAATGCTAGGGGGTGTCTCTGATTTGAATATGTAATAATTATGAATTTCCGAGTTCTTTAATAAAGTCTTCTCTATTCAATTTAATTATACAATATTTTTATACCTTCCTGGTCGAACAAATTAGGATTGATTTACGGTTAACAACCAGTTCGGTCGCGGTTGTTAAAGTTTTTGTATAATTAGACTATAGTAGATATCACCTAGGACTAGGGATACCCTGTAGTTACCGAATTTAACCCTTGATAAAATAAAGGCTTGACTCCATCATATATCTCTAAGAACTTAGGATTTAGAATAGATGGTTAAAGGTTTTCTCACTAAGGACTTAGGGGAAGATAATCTAAAGGGCTGATAATTGAAGAATATGAATTTGTTGAAGAGATCGGGACTCAAGATAGTTACGGGACAAATTATACACCTTACACCAGCATGCTCCTCATATCTGTGAAAAAACTATTTTATATTTCTGCTTTTTGTTAAGTGACAATATAAAAACCAAAACCACAAATTAAATTTTTATTTAATTGAACTACGAATTTAACTCAATAATTACAAGCAGTTTTTGAACTCGATGTCTTGAGAATTTTTCATTATTACTGCAAGACAAAAATATTATACTTGCTATTTTTCTCATCATACTTCAACAAATTTAATTTAATATGAAACTTGATCTATTTCAATTTGTTTTATTTCAGTTTATTTTCTTCTAGATGGGTTTGATTTACCAATCCTTTTTTATTTTCCATTTTTTATCAATAATGATTTTTAATTAAAAATATATTTTTAATTTATATAAAAAACAAATGAAATCGATATTAAAAACGAGTTTCTTTATATACATTCACATTTAACCTTTTACATCAATAGTCAATAGTCATTAATCTATTTTTTATATTTTAAGCAAATTAAATTGTATTTCTTTTGAAGAGTCAAATGTATAAATATAAAACAATTTAATTTCAAGATTAGAAAAAGAAAAAGAAAACAACAAATTTAGAAAAAGGATAATAAAACACGATCCCAAAACAAAAACTTTTTTGCTTTATCCTTTCATCACGTTAAAGTTGTAGATAAGGATTCACAACTCCATTTCCCACACAATAACTATAATTAATTAATCCTATTAAAACATAATTTTTTGTCACTGTCTTTTCCACGTCAGCATAAACCTCTTTCTTCCTCGTTATTTCTCCGCCGGCGATAACATTATCATTTTTCTCTCTCTCTAACCGCTCTCAGACAACATAGGCAGCGTGAAACTCGTACCTCGTATTTCTCTTTCCTTTGTCTCTCTTAATAGTGAATTCGTTTGTTGTTGTTTTTTTGGTCTCGATCGTGAATGGATGTTATGGTGGGTCCCTCTTTCTCCATCGACGTTCCGTCATCACCTCCGTTCACCGGAAACAGTCCGGCTGGTAACGTGTTTTTCTCCGGCGACTCATCGGAGAGCTCGTCGTCGATCGGAACACCAGATGACAGCGACATCGAAAACGAGAATGTTTCTCCGAAGAGAAACCGTGAAGACGATGAAGAAGTTCAAAGCAAATTCAAGGGTTTGAACTCTCTTGATTCGTTAGAAGATTCTCTTCCCATCAAGTTAGTTCCTCTTTTAATCTTTTTTTTTTGTTTTGTTGTTGTTAATTTTCTTAATTTATTTTGTTTTTTAATTGGGTTTTGCATGTGTTTTGTTCTTGGGTTTGATTAGAAGTTTTTGTTTATTCAATTTTTGTGAAATTTTCTGAATCAGGAAGTCATTATCGAATCATTTTATTGGAAAATCGAAATCGTTTTCGGATCTATCTCAAGTGACAAATGTGGATGAACTGAAAAAGCAAGAGAATCCATTCAACAAGAGGAGAAGGGTTTTGATTGCATCCAAGTTATCAAGAAAATCTTTTTATTCTTGTTTCAATCCAAAATCGATGCCCCTTTTGCGTGTGGATGAGAATGAGGATGATGAAGATGAAGATGAAGATGAAGAAGATCAAGGTGTGGATAAAGAAGTTAGAGCAAAAGAGTCACCATCATCTTCATGTTCTTCAATGGAGGAAAAGAAGAATGTACAACAAGATGAAGTGATGATGAGGCAATTTGAGAATAGAATGCCTCAATCTTATGCTAGTCATATGAGGCTTAGGTTAGGGAGCTTTAAGTCTAGGAGCTTTTCTCTTGCGGATCTACAAGAACATGATGAGGTGGAGGAAGAAGATGATGATGAACAGCATTTGGATTAAAAGTAGTACAAGTTTATGTGTAATTAGTACTGAGATTTTAATTTAATTTTTTGTATAGATGGAGTTTTAACCCTTTTATGTTTTCATATGTGATATGTGATGCTTATTTGAGAATAAGAACTCAAATTCTCATATGGTTGATATTGCCTTGTTTAATTTACTCATGGTCACACATGAATAGAATGAAATTAGAGATTGACTCCAAAAAATCCATAGGTAAGAATGGTTGCTTTAGCCTGTGTTTGGATTGGTGGCGAACAAAATTTATTATAAGATGAAAGTGCTTCCATATGTGTTTGTAATAAATATTGTCTTTATCTTTCACTATGATATTCGTTTTTACATATATATTCGTTTTTACATATATATTTTTGAATATTTTCATTTTCTCGTTGGTCTTTGTTCTTAGTGTACTTCTAAACGAGGTTTTGAGAAGCATTCTTGTTTGTATTTTTAGGTTGCCGATAAAGTGTGTCAATTGTTTCATATTATTATTCGTTTTTACATATATTTTTTTGAATATTTTTATTTCCTCGTTGGTCTTTGTTCTTAGTGTACTTCTAACCGAGGTTTTGAGAAGCATTCTTGTTTGTATTTTTAGGTTGCCGATAAAGTGTGTCAATTGTTTCATATCATTCATTAAAATAGGAGATTTACATAGTAATAATTTGAATCTTTCACATGCATCAGATAATGACTCTGCCTCTTCTTGATCAAAGTTGGAAATTGTGACTTTTCTTTCTACAAATTGAACGTTTGAGTAATAACGCTTTAGAAAATTTTCTTCCAATTCCTTTCAGGTCTGAATAATGCAATTTGGGATGCATTGCAGCCAATCTTTGGCACGATTTATCAAAGAAAAATCAAACAAACGTAATTTTACTTGATCGTCACTGGTGCCACCCTTTAGCTTACACATAAAGTATGTCTCATAGAATTTAGTGAGATGCTCTCACGAATCTATGATTCTGGCCCGTTGAACGAGTTCTTCTTCAAACCTAAAAGAACATAATTCTTAATATCAAAGATTACAAGATTTTTCTGTTGAAATCCTAAAGATATATGCCCAACATCAATCCTCCTGCAATAGTCTCCAAAAGTTTGTCATGACGGAACTGTCACAACTTGAAAGAACTCGAACATAATTCGTAGAGCAAAATGAGAAGCAGCAAAAGTCACAGAAGAAGCAAACAATCTTTAGTTGCACTAAAACAAACCAAACAGAATAAGAGTATTAGAAAGGTGAAAAATGCAAAAATAAAAAATAAAAAACAAAAACAAATTAAATTGAAAAATTAAAAACATCGCACGATATTGCCTTATTGAAATTATCAATAATTCTCGGCAACGACGCCTAAAACTTGATGACAACTCTAGCAAGTGTACTAGTCTCGTCGAAGTAATACATTAAATTCGCCTCCTCAAGGATTGTGAATTTCAACAAGGTAATGAATAATGGAAATTAAAGTAAATAACAAATGAGAGTTTTCACGGTTGATTCGGTTCGAGAATAAAACGACAAAATAGTTGAAATAAAATTCAATAGTTAAAGGCAATTAGATTTTATTTTGACTCCTTTACTTATACTAGCTGATGAATTGTGTATTAAATGAATTTCTAATATGTTAATGTCTTTGGTGAATTAATAAGACCACTGCACTCAATTCTTTGGTGTACAATTCACTAATCTATACAATAATTTTCTAACTCCTTAGACTAATTCGGAGTTAAATTAGGCGTTTCACGTGCGTTAATTCAAAATCCACAATTTATAATTATCTATTGTTAGTTAATTAATAAGTTTAATAATTTCCCTAGATCGGATCACTAGACTTACGGTCAATAATTTCTACTCATCTGATATCAATTTGTACATTTATCAATACATAAAAAACATTAAAATCAAAGACAATTAAATAATAAAAATAACATAAAATAATTCAAGTAATCTCAAACAACCACATGATTCAACAGAGTACAAGCAGGTTTGTCTAAAAATGCCTAATCTAAAAAATCTAGCTACTCATAGTGCATGTAGCAATTACCATGAGTTTATATGAAAATAACATGAAATTCAATGAAGATGGATATCTTCAATGGCTTTTAAAACCCACAAAATCATTGATTTATAACTTCCACCCGTCATTTTCTTTATCATATTTAGAACCCCTTAAAAAGTAGCCAAAAATCATATTTAAAGCTAAACAACGTGTCAGATTGTTATCTCATCGCGCCCGAGTTGCACATCATCGCACCAGCGATGCCACTTCATCGCGCTCTCGATGAGAGCATCGTGAAAACCAGAGGCAAATGTGGCTTTTTTTCTTCCTCTTTCTTTACAATTCCTCTAAGTCCACTTTCTTCACATTTTTACAACTTTGTTTCATTCGTTCACATTTTTGCTTGATTTTTGTTCATTATTTCTCGAATTTGTCAAAATTGCTCACGAATTTTACGTAATGACACAATGTAATCTTAGGACTAAAATTAACATTGAGGTTAACATACCATACCAAAAAATATATTAAGCCTTTTAAAATTCAGGTTTTTGATTTCTATTTCAAGTTTTATTTTATTTTAATCCCTTTTCCAATTTGAGATTAATTTTAGTGACATGGGAATGGTAGTCATGACATGTGTAATATCCCATATCTTCTCGAGTGCTCTATTTGTTATCAGTTAGGGCCAATAGATTAATTAGTAGACTCAGAAGAGATTAATTCTTACTAAAAAAGACTGACCTTTATTAATCAGTATAAGAATAAACATTTTAATAACATTAATAGTTGGTCAATTGCTCTAGTAGTAAGAAATAATCTTAAGAAAATATCATTAGAGATATTTTCTTACAAACTTTGTCTTTCAACCAATCATTTATCTCTCTTTTCTCTATCACTCTTTTTCCACCATATATATTCCAATCATGTCCTTCCTTTATCATTCCTATCTATCAGTAAAGGAAAAAGAAAGAAACAAGAGAAGAGAAAAATAAGAAAGAAGAGAAAGAAAAGAAAGGAAAAGAGAAAGAAAAAGAGGAAGAAGAAGGAGTCATGTGAATCATTATCACCACTACCAAATCATCTCAACCTTATCATCAATCTTCATCATCTTCTTGAAATAAGGTGTGTTCTAGTTAGATTCCTCATTAGGGAAGGTTTCCATGAGTAGAAATCTAGGGTTTGTGTTATTACCGTAATTATGAGAATAGATAGTAGAATATTTTCAACTTATTGTTATATGACTGTATTTTTGTGTTGGAATATGTTGATTGGTGTTCATCCTTGAAACCATACTTGTTGATTTCAAGAACCCATGTTGGTTTATGTTTTGACATGATTTAAATTTATGAGAATTTATATAGGATAAGTTAGAAGCAAGGTTGTCGAAGGGATGAAGATATAGTATACCGGTTTAGTGGATTACGCATGAAAAATTGATTCTTTCATATGTCAATTGATTGACATCACCAAGCAATTTGTTATCCCTACTAAAAATTGGGAAAATTGCACAAAACCAAGAGAGAAATCGATTGCTCGCTCTAATTAATCGATTTCATTTCCTGGAAATGTTTTTTTATTTGATAGAAAGTTGAGGAGTTTTGGTGCAATTGATTGCACCTGTGTGTCATTCGATTGACACCCTTATTTTATACAAAAATCCAATTGTTTAGTGGTCCTAAGCTACATTAAGAGTCCTATAACTTGTACCATTATATGTATGTATTGGATTAACATTAACCGAACAAATTTTATGAGATTGAGTGTGTTTTAACCTAGAATCTTAAGTAGGTTTAAATGGTTGTTAAATGAGTTTCGTAGCATGAAATGAGGTGCGAACGGATCATTAGAAAGATGACATAGAGAACTATAATATAGAGAGATGTCTCTATGTATTATTCTACTATACCTTTCCCTTTGATTACGGTTAACCTCACCATAGGATGATCGAACATACACTTACTATGTGACATGAAAGTGAAATAGTTTAGGCTGAAGCGGAATTGCATGCAAGCTTAACCTAAGGTTTATTTAACATGTTATATTGTCACGTGCGCTACATGTATGATGTTATGTGTATGTCATGAACTATGCTACAAATTACTTGGATGTATTGATTGTGTAATAATATGATTAAAACCTTATTATAATGAGTGAAGAAAACATAGGAGTATAACTAGGTAAATGAATTAGAAAGATAATTTAGGTTATCGAAATGTGTTATATGGTAATGCTTGGATGCAATGGTACCTCAGTGTATATTGTGAATGAGTATTTGCTTGGATTATGAATTAATATGAGAATTGGTAGATATGACCAGCTAGTGTTTTGGTGAATGTGATTACTTAGTGATAAATGAGAGCAAACACGACGAATGTGGAACCTAATCACATATTTGGAATTTTCCTTGATCGTGCATATCCCATTTGGAATGCTTATATAAAGTATAAAATGGGGACGTGACACCAATGATTCGTGCCTCAAAATAGGTTTGAGTCCCAACTATGGTTGATCCATATGGAGGAGATGTGAAAGATACGTAAAGTGGGCTCGAGTCTCATGCGTGTGACGGTTCTTGAAATGGTTTTGAGTCATATGGAGAACCTGATATCCATATGAAAGTCAAATCATACAAATATGCATGAACCGAGCCTTGGCCTAGACGTAAGTCTGGTCAGGGAGTGATGTTATATGTTGTCGCATAGTGATTTATTGAGTTATATGAACTCAAGTGACAAGTTTCCATATAATGCAAATATCCTTTAGATGCTTAAGTCTTAGTTACATGTGTGAGTGATACACAAGTAATGAAAGATGAAGACTTGAGTTAAGAATTGATTAGAAACCTTGTAGAGCCGAGTTGACCCTTAAGATAGGGAACCCATTGAGATTATCATCTCACTCCATTATTGTTATTGTTTTTCAAGTGTTATTTACAGGTTAAAGATAAAAGAAGTGTCTGATAATGTTTTGAAGGATTTTGATTATCGTGATCTTTTGTTG